AGGTTTAATACCATAAGTACATAGAAAAGAAACAGGGGTTCCTATGGGTGACCGCTGCGAAAGCCGAGCTATTTAATATAAACAAACTTTAAAGTCAAGGTTCACAATAGTATACAGAGAAGACGTTACCATATATGAAATATTGACACAGAAGGGAAACTCCTTTGATGTGTTTCCAGAGTGTAGTGGACGTCACAAGAAAATTAAATAAATTAAACAAAAATATATTATATTTTATATTAACCAAATTATAGTTTACCTTTTTCTCATCAGGTGTAAAAAAGATGCATATAACACAGTTTAATAAGGTTTATGAGAGCCTTTAAAGTTTTATAAATTCGATAATCAATTTAATATAAAATACCAAAATACGTTAACATATAATTAAATTGAATTTAAAGAAAAGTTCAGTTCGAATAATAGGCTAAATCCGATTATTGAAATATCTACCCTTCGGTGACATAATCTATGACGTTACTAGGTGAGAAAAAAAAAATAGAAAGAAAAGGAGAGACGGCAGATCGGCGGGCGCGCGGGGGTCGCTTTTTAGGAATTGCGCAAGAAAAAAAAGAAAAAAAAAAATGGTGCAGGAGTCGTGTTTTAGGGATTGCGCAATAAAATAAAAAAGTGACTGGGATATGGACCTAGGAGTGACTGGATCGATGAAGGGGTTTGAGATCTTAGTGTATCACTATCGATTGAATGTGTGAAATTAGTCAATGGAAGACTGGAGAATCCGGTGAGCTTGTTCCATTTATTACTACGTGGTTGGATTTTTGACTGTGATCGCAGGCAATGTCTATACTTAATATTTCCACCAACTATTGAAATACATATTTACTAGAGTCAATATAAGCTTAGGTAATGCGTTTAATCTTTAAATATTATCACATTTGATAATATTTTGACTTTAATATAACGATGATGATGAATAATCTATATGATGATATATATCTATGTTATTCTATTCATATACAAAACCCTAATTAGACATTTGTTTAGTAGAACTTTATCACTTTGATTCAGTGAAGCTGATGTAAACTTAGGTTCCACTATTACAAAATTGTTGTACTTGTTTAGATTTGGAGATTACTTTAGGAATTAACTATCAAGCTATTATAACACCTATATAAAGACAGCTTATTATTTAATATAAAATTATTTATTTATAACGGACAGGCAAGCTAAAGTTATTATAGGTTGATCAGGGAGTTAGTGGATGCAGGGCTCGGGCCGTTCCTTGTAATAGTGTGTGGGAATTGCCTGTATTCAGTTGTGGATTGATGATGGTTGAGACGATGATGATGATGGAATAGTTGTATTTATTACACTATTACAGTGTTGGTTTGGAATTTCTGTGCATGCTTAACGTCCCATGGTGAAATGTTTTCATACCATTGCTCGGTCGACTGAACTAATAATTCTTTTGTATACGTCTAATTACCCATGATTACATGTGGGGATTTGTTTTACACCAGATGTCCAAAGAAACAGCTTAACTGTTGCATGTAATATTATGTGAATGTAATACTTTTAATACATTATTAATTGTGTTATTAGATAAATTCATGTGACTGTGGGGTGTTTATGGTAAACAAGCCTGTATTGTTTAAATAGATATTTTGTCTTGATTTATTATAAACTTTAATATTGCTTTTATTGTAGTGAGCAAGCTGACAATAACAACTCTTTGTATATTACTGCTTTTAATAATATTTAATTATATTGATATTATAGGTGTGGATTTATTTCCTAATGGTAATAAATGTACTAAAGGATTCTCTGACTATAGTTACTCTTAACTAGGTATGAGGTACAGTATAAAATTAGTACTAAATGACAAGTGTGAGTTATTTATTATTTATTATATTATTTTACTCATATTTAGGAAGAAAGTTGTCATAGCGATAAGGTTTGTATGTGTGTTGTTTATTCATGCTATATTGACTAGACAAGTTCAGACAGGGTTAAAATTAGTGAATCTTTATTGGATTTATATTTAATATACATGTTTTGAATATTTATGGGAATAGTATGGAGATATACGGGTAGTAAAATATAATATTAGTATTTTATAAATTTAATTATTGAGTTATATGTTTATGTCGGACTGTGTCCGAGGAGATATTATCCTATTAATATCGGGTTAGGACAATTACTTTAAATATTAATAAAGCAAACACTAACACTGATTATTCACTTCTTTAATGAATTTACATTAGAGGTTAGAAATTAAATAGATAGCATATTGGGAAAATCTTCACCACACATGTATTTGAGGAATGTTCTTGATAATTGGTGCTGTGTGTATATATTATTGCAAGTACAATTGCAATAAGAATGTTGAACTTCTAATCTTCTGTTCATTCTTGAATTTGAAAGTGGGCTTGGCTTACTGATATGAATATAAAACTGCAGCATTACTGGATACTATTGGTTATTTCTGGTGTAAACCATGATTATTTATGTCACTGATAATTTAGTTGTATATTACGGTTGATATATGATGATTTTATATTTAATTATATTAAACAAATACAAATGGGCAAACTTGCTGGTATTTGTTACGTTGACAGTTGTGATAGATAATCAAAATTCAATTCAATACATCAATACGTCATTCAATACGTCATTAATGTGACAGATGTCAAACAAAAGGAGATTATACACGTTATGATTCTATATCTAAGTCTATAGAAAATTTATATAATTTTCTGTTATTTTATAATAACTGTAGGGGAAATATTGGAATTATTTATATGAGAAATTTCACTTAAATGATATGATAATTATTTAAAGACCTAATTTCTTAGGGATTTAATCATGATGATTTAAACACTAAAACACTTGTTTATCTGAGAAATCCTCTTAGTAAATAGGTTTACTAAGACACTAAATGGAAGTAGATATAGTATAACTATAGTACAGCTACAATAATTGTATGGGACTCACTGTCCTTTCTATACAAATATATATTTAATCTATATCTTTCACATTATAATTATGCAATATATTGCCTCTACTACTACAACATACACAAATAGGACTTATTGTCCTTCCTATATACCTATATATAATAATTGACCTAGCACTTTAATGTGTAATTTATCAGTACTTATGACAACAACCAATTAGGACTTATAGTCCTCTCTATAAAGCTACATAATTATTTAATCTGATTATTTCACAATGTGATTAATCAAACCTCTACAAATATTACAAAAGATCTCTATTACTCTCAACACAATAATAGCTTGTTGGACTTAGTGTCCTCAAACTTATAGAAAACCCAACTGGTTATTTCACGAGACGTTGTTAACTTGTGATTAATCAGTGTCTCTTAAAGGACTTATAGTTCCTTTAGATATATCTCTCTGAATAAATAATTGGTTAATTCACAATGTGGTTAATCAACAATAATATTATATATAATTGACTGGACTTATAGTTCATTCAATAGCACTCATTACTTTTAGTAGCTCTCGACCTATGGGTTGGACTACTCGTTCTTAGGCTCTGGCCTAATCAACAGATGTAACTTGAACCTTGAGTATTCTTGGTATTAAGTAAATAATATTAAATTGACAATGCTATGTTATGATATAGCAATTATCAACATTATATGGCTTGGCCAATTCCAGGGTGTGGAAGGTATCCCCTATCACACAAATCTTCATCTCTATCGGACTGTCTTCACAGGTGATCTCTAATGTCACATTATAGAGCCGAAGGGTTATGTCCCATCAAAGTAGGTTCTGGTGTCTGGGTGATCTCGCTTCTTGGTCTGATCTCTTGTGGAGCCGAAGGGAAACCCCCATTGAGTAAGCTCGTAACAGGGTGACGCTGGGAAACAGTTTCGTACTGTTAGTGGGTGATCTCTATGTCGCCATATAGGACTGAAAGGGTCATCGCCCATGAGTAAGCTCTCGTGTCGGAGTGATCCTGGGATTTCAGTTCCGATCCGTTTGCCTCTGGCAAACACTAATTTATACTGGAAGCATCGTGGGGCTGGTGGAGCCACTGTAATGTTGAAGTAAATGTACTTATGTTTGGTTTGGAACTGAGAATACTCATGCCCTTATTACCATCAGAGTGCATTAATAAATAGTAATACCCTTCCCTACCTTTTTGGAGGAAGAGTTATAGATAGTTGGAAAGTCTTCCACTGGTCCGGGCGTGTGAGGGGCCCGACCGCTCCCCCATTTTTTTATTATTACAGTTGTTCTGTAATTTACTATTAAATTAACATAACTTCCTAGTTACATGAATTATGAGTATAATTCATTAATTATTCTTAATCCTTAAAGATTTATCAATCATCTTCATAATTTAACTCCTGTCATATACCAATTAAAGAACCTTTTGGTTATTACACACACAACGGGTCCTACATTACTAGACGATCACACATTTATTTATCTGGCCAGATGATCAAGTGTTCTACTATAAAATCTGTTCAATATTAAGTGTTTATTGTAAGGGTTTATATGATTCATAAAATGTTTGGGGTGTATAAGGCAATATAGGTATGGGGTTATATTGAGGGTGTTAGGCCATTCTTTAGGGTAGGTTTTCATTATATTTTCATGGGTTTTCATTAGGTTAAGTCTTTTCTTAGGCTTTGTAGGTTTTCCATGTGTAGGTTAGTAGAGAGGGTAGTTTTTATATAAAAGGGGTACACACACAGGGGGGGGGGACCATCACAGGCTACATAATAAGCGAATAATTTAAAGTAAACTAGACATATATTAAAGTACAGCAAAAATCATAATAGTAAAAGTATATTTCTGTAAATACAAATAAAATAGTTATAGATGTTTATCATTATGCAAATGACTACGTATTTAATGCATAAAATTAATGATAACAAAGAGTCCTAAAGAAACTCTTACAATAATGTCACCCTTAAAGCAACAAAAGTATATTGTTAAGCAATTTCGTACAGAATACAAAGACAAAGAAACAAAATCTGATACAACTAAATCGAAGTCAGTACTTACTGTTATCACGCAACAATTACGAAAGCTTTAGTTATCAACTATTATGTAAAAGAGGGCGCACTCGCGCCGCCACTCCGCGGTACTTTCGCTCCAGACTCCCGCCAAAACCGCCCCACACCCCCACGTTATCGAAGTGCACTGTCTATTCACACAGTCAGTCAACACAGTCCACTGCAAAAGTTTGTATTTGTAAGTTTCGTAAACGTGTTGCGCGCGCCGGAGTGTGCGGCGCGCGTCCGCTTTCTTAGTGGGCCGGTGCCGTACTAGTTGTGAAGTGGCGAGCCGAGAACCGGCCGACTGTGGCTACCGACTTGAGGACAGCCGCGCGGCCGCCAGTCCCTGTACAGTACACGAACCCTAGGCCAGCCCTGACACACCACATAAGAAACTTATAGGACCTTACCACTACACCCTCATCCGACGCTGTATAGCGCGCCGACTTTTTGTAACGGCCGGATTATGCGCCTTCGAAACTCTCTGGAGTAGTCTACGACGCTAACGTATTCTTTTAGCTATAAACTTCGAGGTACAAAGCTTTTCAATAAACATTGACTGCTATAAAATGCCATCAACAGCGCGCGGCCCATTCGACATTGCTAACCTTACATGATAAATAAAACTTATTCCTGTTTATTTATTCAATATGCTGTTACCAAAAGGTTACGTGAAAACGATGAAAAAACGTGGTTACGGGTAATACAGGTCGTCGTATCGGTAATAAACATCGATCCTGTATCTCGATATGTAACTTTAAAAACATTCGACTAATGGTAAAGTAAATATCGAAAGTTCTTCGCAAAGTTAAATAAGAAGCTGCACGGTTCTTTAGCAAGGGTCGAAGTTTCCGAGGAACATTTGCCGATTCGATTTTAAGTTTTATAAAATTTCCATAAAGATTGAAATCATTATATACCTATAAGGATATCAATATTTGTAACGATTATATTCGAGTACTTTACGTAGATTTATGATGAAAAAAAACATATATTCTGTAACTATGTTCAGATAAAAACCATTCCATTTGTTAATAATATATGGACCATAGCTATACTAAATTTCATTCGAATCCATTCAGCTGGTTAATAGTAATTGAGTAACGACCATTCAAACCTCTTTACATATTCACATTTACAATATTAGTAACATTTCGAGGAACAACGTTTAATTTATTTTCTATAATACCCATATTTCATCTACATTAATATTATGTGTAACATTTTAGTAACTTTTTAATCATGTTTAGTTCTTCGAAAGCTTTATATCGCGTGACGTGAGAAGGGTGAAACGCGCCGCGCCGTCCACCATCTTGCATGTAATTACCAACGAAGGAAGTTTGTTGCTTTTTGGGGCCAAAGCGTGACTTACGTTCAACCCTATGTCTTAAAAATAAAATTAGAATGGCAATAAAAGGGCGCGTAATATCGTAAATTTCCGATAAAAACTTTTAATTGTTCTGACAAATTCTAAATTCTACAAATGTCTTTGCCTATTGTGTTATCAATATTAAAATTCAAATTAAATATTTAAATTAACTCGTTTACAATACACCTAATAGAGTTATAAAATAAAATATTAATTTATTCATAAATGAATTGAAAATAAAAAAAAAACTCTCGTATCGTATATGCAAATTGTTGCTGCTAATCAAAGTTGGACCGCCAACTCTCAGGATGTCAGAATGAATGTTGTATGACGAGTGGCGACTCCATACCTCGCTTCACAATGGTTAATCAAAAGGCCGTATCTCACTCTGCAAGGCCTCGCTTGGCCAGAGACGTTACATTATTTCGATTTCATTTGCTTGCTCGTGAGTGCTGTTTTTTAGTTTTTGCTAGCATTCGCGAGCGCAAGCAAGGCCAAGGGTCATCCTTGATTCTAGGCTTTGTTATTCCTGGAGAAATATGAGTGGAAGTCGGCAGGCACCGTCGTAACATCGAATAAATGGGATTATTTTGAGGAATATTGAAATAACTTTAGGCTATGAGAGGGTACACGAGAATTATGCAGATTAATTCTCGGATGATGAATGGTGCTCGTAAATCTTGTTTTGTAATTTATTTGCTTACTAGTTATCGTCTTTGTTTCGTTGTTCAATATTAGAATATTATATAATCACTATTTATCGCGATATTACTTACGCGAAAAAAGAGATAATAGGTATCTCCTGTTCCAGGAATTTCGAAAAATCTAACAAGAATCTAAGATTAATTAAACTTTCATATTCCAATTCTGACATCAACAGTTTGATAGTCAATTTGATATCTTCATTATCACAAATCATTTGCTAAATAACTTCTTTTTTTTTAAAATGTTAGACAGAATTAGTGTAATCTATGCCACAAAGTCTTGGATCCATATTAATAAATCAAATTTAAAACTTGCCTTGAGATAGTATCGATATTGTCACATTACATCGAAATTATGATCTCTATATCTAAATTTTGAATGAATGAATGAGTGAATAAATAATTTATTTGCATTATGCAGCATAGATAATAAAGCAACACGAGTAATAAATGTAACAATAGGTACTATTGTATAAGTACAATATAACAGTTTAGTTGCTGAAAGTAATCTTTTCAAGACAACCTTAGGACTATTTGTTGTACAAGTAGGTATAATATAATTATACAAATTAAGGAAATTTAAAATAACAATTTAAAAATATTAAGAAAAATAATAAAAATATACTCGTATTAATAATAAAAACATATATAAATACAATAAAAACAAGTTTATTAATATTATTAAAATAAATTAATTATATAAATACATAATGGAATAAAGAGTATTGTAAACGTGCACTCGAAATCATTCTTGCACTTGAGACCTATTTATATTTTGTTTTTATTTTATATTATTAAAAAAAAATAGGGCTCTTACGTCTCAAAAACGACTATGCATGAGTTTTTACATGATTGTATCTTACAATTAATGTTTTGATATTCAAGTTGTTACTCATTTCTATTAGCGACGGTTATAAAAAATTACAGTCATATGAAGTGAAAGTATATCATCCATTACTATAGTGTGGATTCTGTTACTGGCCGTGAATATAGTTTTTTTCTTTAATGTAGGATTTATTTTTCTTTTTAGTTGATAAAAAGTAATTACCAGTCACGAATCTCGCAGCCAGTGATGCGGGTGCGCGTTGAGATTAATTGAATTCTTGGGCGTGAAGAGATGGAGCTGTGAGGGGGCGGTGTATATACTTTTTTTTAAATTTATAGTCACAGAATATAAGAGAGAGCGGTGTTCAAATAATTTACATGTTTGCTTATAGGTATATCATAACTTATTAGTCTTCTGTTTCAGGCTTAATTTTTTACGTTAATTCATTCCTGTTTCCAAAGAATTTACAGCTAGAAAAGTATTGTTAAAATAGTAAGTAGGTATTACTAATATTTCTATTTTACGCTATTTCCTTCTAGTGTTTTTTCTTTTGCCTATATTTTACTAATGTTATAAAGAGAAAATATCCTATATTTTTTGTTTTTTTATTTATAACGAATAAAACAACACAAGCGATTTTAAAAATTGTATCATCTATAGAAAGCTACATCATCAGTGAGTAATACAATACAAACATATGCATTTTAAAAAGAAACAGACGTGTCTATAAAAATTGCAATAATAGAACTCAAAATATCATAAATTTACTATTATAGAATACTATAATTTATCTTTCTATTTATCTATCCGTACGGAAGCTCGGTGGATTGCTATTAGGTACAATTAATAAATTAATACATCCATAATACACAGGCGGCTTGATATATAGATTCATTTAAATTTTTTCTCTCTTTTATACTGATTCATAAGAAAAAAATATAGTAACACGTTGTTTCCTTACTCACAGATACTAATCACCGTCATAATTAAAAATATTAATTTAATATAAAAAAAATTAAATCTCTTTTGTCATATTATATCATATCAAAATAACGTTTTATCAATACGTAAGACGAATGTTGAGTCATATCGAATGTTGCTCAAATTTGTGTGTGTTTTAAATGTTTAGATATCCTATAAAAGATTACAGCCATGAGTATATATATATATATATATATATAAAGAACGACGGTCTCAAATTTGTTATCTATATATATTTGTCCGGTAATCAATAAATGAAGATGGCATTGTGGCAATACTGTTGGATAGCTTATGTTCAGTAGTGGATATTGAATAGCTGAAATTATAATACATACAAAAAAGAATTAGTGATATCATTTCGAATTAATTACAATATATAAAAAAAAATTTTAAACGCAATCGTCAATGAATTGAACCAAACTTATCGAATTACCTCTAAAAGGTCCATCATCACCTCTACAAGACACACTAGCATCTAGTATAATTGTAAAACATATATTATATTATTTATTCTCCACTCAAATATACACATATAAATATTTAAAAAATATATATATTTAAATTGTAAATAATTGATGCGATATAATATATGTGTATGCAGCGTTACGAACCGGGTTGTTGAGTTCCCTAAAGTATGATAGAGTGAAATGATGGCTTCCTCATTCGTCATATACGTGAACGGGTAGTGCTGCTTGTGGAGACTAGTTTGTTGCTCGAGGCCCGTACCTGCAACCCCGTAAGGGGTTGCGGATGAACCCTTGATTGATTGACTAGTCTGTTCATGTTTGCTCCTTTATTTTCCATTTAATACCTGTTGAGTTTCTTGCGAGTTCTTTTCACTAGATAACAACATTTAGAATCGTAAAATCATAAAAAATTCAAGATTTAAAAGACCTTATAAATAAATCTGAATAAAGATTACATATTTCTATTCTATTTTAATTTATTGTAGTTTACAAGCACTTTCAATTTAAAATTATTCCAAAGGTAGGTAAAAATTCGTGCTTAAATATAAATAGGTGCCGGTATAAATAAGGCAATAAATTTCAAATAGAAAGAAGAACGGGTGATGTTGTAAAAGAAGTGACCTACTTTTAAAAACCTAATTCAGTTATGCGACAGTTAAGTATATGGACATTAAGTACCATATATTTATATTTAGGTTAAGATTTTTTTTGTGTTTACTAACAAACATATGTGTATTTAACTAAATATTCTATAATTCTAAAAATAAATTATTATTTTTACCAACTCCAACTCATGATTTTCGCATAAGGGCTTTTTAAAAAGTGCATGTCGCCTCATTGTGTGTGAGCTTACCCTTAATGTAAGACTTGGATGTAAATCTACTTTTTAATCTCTATTGTAAAAAGAGGGCTGTTATAACTTAAAGCCTTTCTCTGT